TACTATTAACACAGCAACAACAACATAAAGATGGGCATCTTTGACATTTTACTAGACTGTACGTGTGTGTTTAATAGAAACTGGAATTTAAACAATTAAATAAATTAGTACATGTATAGCATAGGACAGGTGCAAGTTGACAAACTTAGCTCACCAAGATAAACTATACATGCACTACACATGAGCTATATGTAAAGGTGTGGGTTTGCAATATGATGTTAGACCAGTGTACCCTCAATTTTCAATCAAAACCATGAGCAGTTTGGCCTTCTGATGCATGCCTTCCGCTAGAATAGAACCAGATCCTATTCTAGCATCAACGTAATGTCAAGCCTATCCTAATATTGTAAACCAGCCTTAAGCTACAAGTAGTTATCATAGTATATAGTTAGTGTATGGTGGGTGTTAGTGTATAGTGTTTCATGTACTGATATCAACAAACTGATGTAGATTGCAAGTTACAAGCACTGAAACTGCACACATGTTATATGGAGATGCATGCATTTTATTCTAGTTTGTTTGTCAACCTGTCCGGTGCTATACTTACTGTAATGAAAATTGTATTTTTACTTAATTATTAGTGAAAACAGTAGTAACATCACTTAGTATGGCCTGCCATATAGCCAAAAACTATTTGCCTAACATTTCTAATTATGGAGCTAAATCATAAAAACTAACTAAATATGACTAAAAAGTAGAAGATTGTAAAAATTTATAAGTCTTCAAATTTATTATTTTATAGGAAATTTACTAAAATTTTGAGCCTTGCTATATGTTATAAATTCTTCTGAAATTTGTTTGTAGACATGTACATTTTCATACTTACATGTACATGTATATTCACTTTTGATTCTCTATAGGATTATCTACCAGTAGATCAGGAAGAATTACGTGATTATGTACAGGCCAGATTAGAGGTTTTTAATGAGGAAGAGCTAGACGTTCTTCTTGTTCCCTTTAATGAACTCCTTGATCATGTCCTTCGTATTGACAGAATCTTCAAACAGCATCAGATAGGTGTGGTCTAATACTGACCCCACACCTTATTGACTCTGCCTCTTTTAGGGTCTCAGTGGAGCTGGTGGTAAGACCATACTGTCTAGGTCTGTGGCTTGGATCAACGGACTATTTCAAATAAAAGTAATAATGGAGAGAGAGAGAGAGAGGAACGGAGGGAGAGAGAGATGAAAGAAGCTATCTTCTTTTGTCTTTCTCCTAGGTTCATAATAAATACACTCCTGATGATTTTAATGATGATCTATATACAGTGCTAAGACAGTCTGGCTGTCGCAATGAGAAGATTGTATTCATAATGGATGAGTCTAATGTCCTCAATTTAGGATTCTTGGAAAGAATGAACAGACTACTAGCCAATGGAGAGGTAAGAGAAGAGAGAAAGAGATCTTTATATGTACATGTACCAGACTTGGGTCAAATACAAATAGTATTTGTAATTAGTCGTATTTAAATACTTTTGAAAGTATTTGTATTTGTATTTGTAATTTGAGTTTTTGCAACAGGAAGTATTTGTATTTGCAATTGAAATACAGCAGGGAAGTATTTCAAAATACAGCAAAATACTTTAAAATACTTCAATGTGGATGAAGATGCTGTTTGAGTGACAAAACTTTGAAACACTAACGTTCATTAAATGCAATACATGACTAAAACTAAATATTATTGATTATACATGCATGCATAATGAAAAGAGGCTTTCAATTTACTTGATTGATTAATTCATAAAACTACATAGTTAATAACTGTCTATACTTGAGAAGAAAGTATTTGTATTTGTAATTGAAATACATGTATGCAGTATTTGTAATTGTATTTAAATACAAAGCTGAAAACAGTATTTGTATTTGTATTTGTATTTTTGTTTTTGTACAGTATTTGTATTTGTATTTAAATACTTCCACGTTGTATTTGACCCAAGTCTGAATGTACATACATATACATGTAGTATTTCTACCTGTATTTAAGTTTAAAGTTTAAAGGGTAAGTTCAATGCATTTTTGAGGTATTTTTTTATTTGCTTAATATGATTGCCTGACCATACTAATGATGTGTTCCAACTCCCATTGTCTGAAAAAAATTATTCACTGAGATATGAGCCTTCAAAAATGCCTATTTTTCCTTCCTGCCAGGTACT